GGTGTCGAATTTATAATATTTATAATTTGTGTCATGTGATAGTTGTCGAATTTATTAATTTTAAAATTGTTGAATTTGTTTACAATTACATAATTTATATATTTTCTTTTTTTAATACTATCCGACTAATCTCGATGTTATGATGATTCTCCTTATCTACTCCATTGTTTATCACCATTTTTCAGTGCGCTATTTCTTTGCTTTACAAAATGCGCTTTGATATCCGAGTTTTTACTATGTCCATTACTGGATCCAATACGTCGTTTTTTAGGTTCTTTTGGGTTAGCACCAATATTAATATTCACTCTTGGGGGTATTTGAAACCCAAATGCTTTCCCGACCTTTTGAAGGTCCAACTTATTTATATCAAAAATCGATTTAAGTGAATAAGAAGCATAAGCGGTCAAATAAGATCGGAATCCATCGCGTGCTGATTGATGCAAATAATAATTCTTTTCGATAAGTTTTTCCAACTATAAACGATTGGAAATAAATATTAATAGTATCAATAATTTTATAAATAACCGATAGTCAATAGAAGTTATTCTTACCTGAGATTGAACATTAAATACTTTATTGTCTTGGAATTGAAATTCGTTCAATGGAACTTTGGCATGTTTAAGATACCGTAAAAATCCAAGCTCACTTGGTAATAAAAACAGTAGGCTCTTTCCTTGACAACCGGCACGAGCTGTCCTTCCAACCCGATGTATATAGTCACGTGGATCATCCGGTGGATCATACTGAATGATATAGTCAACCGCAGGGATGTCCAACCCTCTAGCGGCGACATTGGTGCAAAGGAGAATACCATGATCAGCGTTTGTAAATTCAAAAAAGACATTCGTTCGCTTAGTTTGTTTTTGTTGGCCCTAAGAAAAAAAAATACAATAAAATAAAATAAAATAAATAAATAAAAAAATTAAGAATAAAAAAATAAAACAAAATATCAAGACAGAATATCAAGATAAATTGTATATATCGAAATATACATATACGAATTACTCACGTGTAAATCCAAAACTGGGATATCGATATAATTCAATAACTCTGCATGATATTTGACAGATTTACAACTCGAAAAGAACACAATGACTTTCTTTTTGATATTACGCTTAAGAATTGTAAATAGAAGTAAGAATCGCCTGTCACTGTCGCAAACAATATAGCCTTGAACAAGACCATCTACGGTAGATGTCTCCTTTTCTCTGTCAACATTTATATATAATGGCCCTGGCCTCAAGGATATTCGTGCTAGATCTTCAACTTTTGTTGTTTGTGTAGCAGAAAAAAGCATTGACTGTCGATTTTCTATACCGGTGAAAAAATTCAATTTGAAATTATTATATTACCAATACTTGGAAATTATTGACGCCAAATAATGCCAATACCTTTCGGGAGAATCTTTATAATCTGTGTCATTTCATTTTCAAATCCAATCTCTAATATACGATCAGCTTCATCTATTATAAGAGTTTTGAGATTTCTGTACACAAAACCCTTAGTATTCTAATGAAATAATTTCAAAATATTAGATCAGCAAATGATTTAGAAAAATGAACAGGCTATTATTTAAAAAAAAAAGAAAACCTGAAGATGGTCTAATAATCTCCCTGGCGTAGCAATCAACAAATTCACTCCTTTCTCTAGTTTTTGGGCTTCTGCACTTCTATTAGCACCTCCCATTACAATACCAAATGTTTGATTATGATATTTTAATAAATCCTTTGCCACCCCGAAAGTCTGTAAAGATAATTCTCTTGTAGGAGAAATTATAATTACACCGGTTCCTTTTAACGAAAAGTATCTCATCAGACAATTATTAAAACAGACAATTATTGAAAATGTTTAAATTGACTATCCCAGGGCGGCTCCCTAAAGTTCAGATATGCCGCATTTTGGATTTGAGATCTTTACTAAAAAAACGACTCTAAACACTATGTAAATCATAATCCTGAAGGATCATTTGCTAACTTATCACGTAGTCAAAACCTTCACTTAAATTCGCAGTGCACACCTGAACTTCGCCATGGGTAATCGCTTAAATTTCTTATCAAAAAAAAACATCAAGTTACCATTCCTTGGCTTGAATTTTAACTTATAAAGAAGTTCTATTGCTGGGATCAAAAATGCCAAAGTTTTTCCTATACAATTCAAAAAAAAAAAAAAAAAATTATTTTTCGCTAATTAAAATACAAAGTAATAAAAATATTATATTAAGTCACCA